AACGCAACGTGTAAATGAATCTTAAATATGCATTAAAATAGTCCTGCTTATTTATTCGTGATGTCCTTGTGAGGATGCACCAAAATATCAAGTTACACACATCTTGCATCTAGCAGAGTCTAGCTAGTAAGTGAAGCTTTGACAGCAATACAGTAAGCAAAATAAGTCGAAATACAAAAACACAGAACAGGAATCCAGTCACCAAGCAGGAATATCTCATCCACTCGAGAAATGAATGTGTGGTCAGATCAACGAATGAAAATGAGCATTAAAGCTGATAGGGCTTTTGACCGGGGGCTGCGGGGGTCCTTTTATATTCACACTTACATATTGCCCCCCCACCCCCCCATACTCTGACATCACTACAAATGATGCCTCGCGCCACAAATCTCGACACAGACATCAGCAACTCCTAGGCCAGCTGAAAGGAACCACTGTTAAGAAGATAGAGAGAATGGGAGACCTGATTTACAGCTACGGAGCTGACCGCAGAGCAGACTGAGATGTTCTCTTGCAGCTTCCACCTCTTCCACCCGATTTGCCACCGATACATCCTCCTGAACATCAGCTGGACAGTAGCCCCCCCAAGTGGAGGGAAGTGGAGGTGATTATACGTCGAGCAAGAGCTGCATCCTCCCCTTGGTCCAACGGAGCCTTCTCTGGAGGCTGATGAAGGTGGTGTGGCAGATACAAACTATTCCAACTGTGTGGCAGAGGGCAGGAGACATCCTAATACCCAAGGAAAAGGACTTGGCCGATATCAGAAAGTTTCATCAAATCAGCCTATTGAATGTTGAAGGCAAAATCTTCTTCAGTGTAGTGGCCCATAGGCTGACCGTCTACCTGGAGAAGAACCACTACATCGATACCTCAGTGCAGAAGGCAGGCATTCCAGGCTTCTCAGGCTGCTTGGAGCATGCCAACATGATATGGCTTCAAATCCAAGCTGCCAAAAAGGATGGAAAAGATCTCCATGTCATATTGAGGTCATTGTCCGAGCCTCTCAGTGGGTGGTTGGGGGGCCTAAGCTCAAAACTGGTCTTCGTCTCCCTCCCATTGGAGCAGATATGGATGACATGACCATACTCACCACAACCAAGGCATGTGCTAAACGGCTGTTGAACAAGCTGCAAGAGAACATCCAGTGAACATCCAGTGGGCTCAAATGGAAATAAAGCAGGGCATCTCCAGGAGCATCTCAGTCATTAAGGGAAGGCTGGTGGAGCACCGGTTTTACGTCGATGAGGAGCCCATACCAACAGTGTCAGAGAAGCCAGTAAAGAGTCTCGGACGTTGGTATGATGCAACCCTCAAGGACACCGAAGAAGTGGACCACCTTAGGCAGGAACCCATACAGGTACTAGAGCGTATCAACAAGACTATGCTCCTAGGCGGAATGAAGTTTTGGTGCCTTCAATTTGGGCTGTTACCCCGCCTCACGTGGCCTCTGACGGTCTATGAGGTCCCAATCTCAAAGGTCGAGAACCTTGAGAGGGTGGTCAGCTCATTTGCCAAAAAATGGCTGGGGCTTCCGAGATGCTTCAGTAACATCGGGCTGTATGGAAAAGACGTGCCTGAACTTCCTGTGTCCAGCATCGCAGAGGAGTTCAAGCGTTCCAAAGTGAGGGTGGAGATGAGACCCACAGGATCCAGAGACCCCTGCGTGGCCCAAGCAGCTCCTACTCTTGCGACCGGAAAGAAGTGGACCCCAACTGCAGATATTCAGCCGGCAGAGTCAGACCTCAGACACAGAGACATCATTGGCCTTGTGCAACAGGAGAGAGGAGGCCTCAGCCTTGGGGAGAGCAAACCATCCTGGCATAAGGCAACTCCAGCTCAGCGCCGAGCTCTGGTCATTGAGGAGGTGTGTCGACAAGAGCAGGCAGTAAGATGTGCAAAGGCTGTCTCACAATCTAGGCAAGGGCAGTAGATGAGATGAGAGGAAGTCGAGAGGAGGAAATTCTCTTGGAGGGAGTTGATGGGCATGGAGGCATTTCACACCAGCTTCATTCTACGGGGCATATACGATACCCTGCCCTCCCCCTCTAACCTCAACCAATGGGACGGAGAAGACCCCACATGCCCCCTCTGTCCGTCCCCTGCAAACCTCAAGCACATTCTGATCGGCTGCAAAACAAGCCTGTCACAGGTTCGGTACCCATGGCGGCATAACCAAGTCCTGAAGTGCCTGGCAGCTGTTCACGAGACCAGGCGGACAAAGACCAATGCCATTTAGAATGTAGTTGCCACATTACTGCATAAGCAAGACGGGTGTACCATAATAGGACGCCGCCTGTCCATTCCTGAAATTTCCTTGCTACTGAATATTCCACAGTGAACTGGTAGTGGTATTACAACAAAATGGAAGCAATTGGGAACAACAGCAACTCAGGCAAGAAGTTGCTAAAATCCCAGTGCAGGGACAACGCCAAACTGTCTGCAAAGTCAATAGTTACAGACCTCTAAACTTCATGTGGCCTTCAGATTAGCTCAAAAACAGTGCGTAGAGAACTTCATGGAATGGGTTTCCATGGTCGAGCAGCTGCATCTAAGCCTTACATCACCAAGTGCAATGCAAACCATCGGATGCAGTGGTGTAAAGCACACCACCACTGGACTCTAGAGCAGCGGATACGTGTTCTCTGAATTGACGAATCAGGCTTCTCTGTCTGGCAATCCCATGGTCGAGTCTGGGTTTGGCGGAGATTATGGCGTGGGGTTGTTTATCAGGGGTTGGGCTTGGCCCCTTAGTTCCAATGAAAGGAATTTTTAATGCTGCAGCATTCAAAGCCATTTTGGACAATTTCATGTTCCCAACTTTGTGGGAACGGTTTAGGGATGCCCCCTTCCTGTTCTAACATGACTGCGCATCAGTGTACAAAGCAAGGTCAATAAGGACATGGATGAGTGAGTCTGGTGTGGAGGAACTGGCCTGCACTGAGTCCTGACCTCATCCTGATAGAATACTTTTGGGATGAATTAGAGCAGAGACTGTGAGCCAGGCCTTCTCATTCAACATCAGTGCCTGACCTCACAAATGCTCTCCTGGAAGAATGGTCAAAAATTCCCATAAACACACTCCTTAACCTTGCAGACAGTCTTCCTAGAAGAGCTGAAGCTGTTATAGCTGCAAATGGTGGGCCAGCTCCATATTAAAGCCTATGTATTAAGAATGGGATGTCAGTAAAGTTCATGTGTGTGTAAAGGCAGGTGTCCCAATACTTTTAGCAATATAGTGTATCAAAAGCCTTAAAATAAAGAATTACTTTCTTTTATCTATCTTTTTTCCAGTGTCAAACTGCATGTCAGTGGGGTCCTGTACAGACCCCAGCCAATCACATGACTCAATCTTCACACTGCAGGTCAAATGATGCTGATTAGAAGAGAATGTCTCTTATTTGTCAATGAATGAATTAAACTGACGCCTGTTGGGTATGGGGTTCCTTTTTGATTAGCACTTAGTTTATGTTTAAAGGCTTGTTTTTCACAGACATTGCACGCATGTCTCCCTCTCTCCAGACTGTAAGGACAGACATCTGTGTGGAACACTCAGCATTGTTGTCCACTCTGCTTCAGGACATCAAGAGCCAGCCAGTGAGTCCCTGCCTAGACTCTGTCTCTACAGTTGCCCAGACTCCACCTCCTCAAACTCTCATAGCTGCCTAGGCTCCACCGCTACCATCGGCCAGACTCCACTTCCTCACCATCCCGTAGCTGCCTAGGTTCTATGTTGTTTAAAAGTTATTTATATAGTCTGTGAGAGTTTCATCCCACAATTCCGTCTCCATGTCAGAATTTGCTTGCCTGTTTGCTAACCCAAACCCTCTCCGTCTGTCCTTCCATCTGTCCTTGTTCTTCATTTTCTGGAGGCTTGTACATACGCCTTGAAGTGGATGGGTACCAATTCTTTGACAACACGGCCCAGACGCGTCCATCTCTCAATACCCTGACACCACAATGGGATGAGGTAAGATTGTTGACATGTTGCATTGCTCCTCAATCTGCACAGGTACAACGTGAATGTGTATATCTCCTGTTTCTCTGTTGCCACCCAGTGTGTTACATTGCGATTAAGATTTTGGTTCTGCTGGGTGTTTGTGTGTCTGGCAGGAGTTCTCCTTGCTGGTGGATGGTGCACATTGCCTTCGACTACTTTGTGTGAGACAACCAGACAAACGGGAGGGGATTAAGGGTTACAGAGTCCTGGAGAAGACCACTCAAGAGGTAAACCTACCTCCTCACATTTGGACTCTATAGAGGTAAACCCACCATCTCACATCTCTCCAGGAACTCCAGATTGTCTAGCACTCTGCTGCCCGGCTCCTCACCCACACTCACTGCTAGCAGCATATCAAGCCCGTGGACCTGCACTGGCTCCCCATTAAAGAATGCATCCACTTAAAGATACTTCTCCTGACGTTCAAAGCTCATAACAGCCAAGCCCCATCATACCTTTATGAACTGCTTCTCCCCTACCAGCCTCCCAGCACTCTTACATCCTCCTCTTCTGGCTCTCTCCTCACCCCCCCGTCCAAACTCCATGGCTATGGGGGCTGCGCATTTTCCCATTTTGCTCACCGACTTTGGAACTCCCTCCCCAGTGCCATTCATCTGTCGGTCTGTCTCAGATTTCAAAACCAAGATAAAAACCTTTGTTTGCTGAAGTGTTTAGCCTTCCTTATCCATGTTTTGTCATTTTTTGTTTTCTTTTCTTTATTCTCTGTCAGCATCTTTGAGATTTTGTAAAAGCACTATATAAATAAAATGTATTATTATTATTCAGACTCTATAAAGGTAAACCGCCCTT